ATGCTTGTCTTTTATGTGACAGGTCAAGCTTGTGAAATGTATTATTCAGAATATTATTGTTGATATCTCCTTCAATCAAATAGGTGGCCTTTGTTCCTTGTGTTTTCTTGAGAAGGTAGTCCGTAGTCACATAATATTGAATTTTTCCTTCATGAAAATCAGTAAGGCTATGGCTATGTTGTGGAAAATGTTAGGGAAAGGAAAGAAGTTTTACCAAGGAAAATTGTTTTCTGATGTTCAAAGATATCTATATCTGTTTAGATTGCTTAGTATTTATAACATTAGTAAATAAATAACAATGAATTCAAACAGATATTAAAAATAAATTTATTGGCATGAAAACAATGTTTTATTTTCCTCAGCATTTTCTTTCCTTTCAAATTTCTTCTATAGTTTCTTTCCTGTTTCCTTTTCCTAGCAGTTTCTATGTTATTATTACCTATCTTTTGTACATTCTTGTTTATCACAGTGGGGTGGAGGAGGAGTGAGAGATGAAGCTATGCTTGTTTTTATAGTGAATATCTCTGTTAATAATTTTCTATTTTCTTTATCAGTTTTTTTTTTGTGTGCAGGTAGATCAATTTATAGGGAAAGATCATTTATTTAAGCGCAGTATTATATTGATCAAAGCCTGGTGCTATTATGAAAGTCGTATTCTTGGTGCTCATCATGGCCTGATATCAACTTATGCTTTGGAAATTCTTATTTTATACATCTTTCACCTATTTCACGCCACTCTAGATGGTCCTTTAGCGGTGAGTCTACTTGGATACATCCATTTTATATGCCACATTTGTGACCCAATATTTGAAATTTGGGATATCTGAAAATTCAGGTTCTGTACAAATTTTTGGATTATTTTAGCAACTTTGAATGGGACAAATATTGCATCAGTTTAGCTGGTCCCGTCCGTCTATCATCTCTACCTGAAATTGTTGGTAAGTAGCATCTTAGGGCAGTGCTTTATTTTCTTCCTTTGATTTCATCATGATGATTACCTTATAAGTTACAACCTTATCCCTTTTTTGCAGTTGAGATGCCCCAAAATAGCAGTGGTGATTTTCTGTTGAGTAATGACTTTATTAGAGAATGTATTGGCGAGTTTTCAGTTCCTTCAAATGTTGGTGAAATGAGCTCCCGGAGCTTTCAGCAAAAGCACCTTAACATTGTTGACCCTCTAAAAGAAAATAATAATCTTGGTCGTAGTGTCGGTAAAGGTATGCTCGAATTCTAATTAATGTTCTATCTTTTAATTAGTCTCGAAAGCTTTATAACACCGTAAAATTAAAATGCTTCCTAATATGTTTTTCCTAAAACCGGTGGGAAAGTTCAGTTTATTAAAGAGTGGTATATTTCCTATGCATTACCTTCCTTTTTATTCGGATCCTTAGGTTAATCTGTTTTTCAGTTTTTAATCTCCTTGTATACTCGAGTATAATTAATACCAGGTCTACTGTCTTGATATTTATTTAAGGGCAGTAGGGCACTAATATAAAATTCCAGTTCCTCTCTTCCCTTCATCTATATATCCAGCCTAACCTCACAATTCTGAAGTCAGTGCTAACCCTGTGTTTAGTTTAAAAGAGTGGAGGGTAAGTGGAGCATTGCAAAGCTGAAATATTGCTATGTTCTGTTCTGAGTGAGGAATTATTGTTTTAAAAAAGTATGTAAGAATTTATGTGTATTTGATACTCCCTCCACCCCTAAAATAAGTGTTCCCTTTTCTTTTAGGGATGTTCCCAAATTATGGTATAACTTTCTTTTTTGGTCATATTTGTGTTGTATAACTCTTTGACCCCACATTGTCAGAAGACTCAATTAAGATGTCACTTTTCTTTTAGGGATGTTTGAAGATTACTCAGTTTTTCCAACGCATCTTTAATGGGGACATTTGGAAAGTATTATCTTGCCTAAAAGCAAGTGAAGTCAAACTAGGAGCATAATTTGGGGACGGACGAAGTATAAAACTTCGTTGTAATATAAAAACAGAGTAATTTGTACTCGTGGCTACTGTATGTACTCCACTACTCCGTATAACAATAGCAAGTGCTGTAGAAGAATTAGTACTTGTAGCTATTATATGTATAACACTAGCTAGTGCCGTAGAAGAATCATGTTTAAAAAATATAAACTGAAGAACATTCAACAAGAACAATCCAGCCTTAGTTTGGGAGAAACCGAGAAAGTGAAAAACATAAAAAAGTCACACCCTCCAAAGTGGTTGGGAGTAATAATACCATGATAGAATTTAGGTTTGGGTAAGGGTCACTCCACTAACCCTGGCTTCGGCCAAACCATGTTAGAAGATTAAATCCAATCTATTGACTGTACAATTCAAGGTCTTTTTAACCCATCAGTTTCTTTAATTTATTCTAACATTTTTATCCACATGCCCTCATAATTTACTCGCAAACAACAATATGAAAGTTCCAACACTGGAATACATTTTTTTGCATCAAATGTCTATCTTTCAAGCTCCCATCTTAACTCCTCTCTTGGAAACTGCGAACAGGAAATTTCTACAGAATATGTAGTGCTTTCACATATGGGGCTAGTAAGCTTGGGAGAGTCCTTCAGTCAAAAGATAATATTGCTGGTGAACTAACTAATTTTTTCTCAAACACTCTGAGTCGTCATAGAACTTCAACAAAAAGGTCTGATGATGTCGAAGATCTTAGTCCATCGGCAAAAGATTGCAAGGTTGATGGGTTTGCTCGTCTTTCTGGAGATTCAATAGAATCAGCTTGCTCAATCAAACAAAGCCTGACATTATGTAATGATAGTGATGATGGTTCTCCCGTTTTGGGTAGTTTGTGTAAACCATTTTTTGCCCCTCATCTCTTCTTTACTAAGTCTACATGCAATAAGCATGAAGGAAAGAAGGGTTCAGAAAAGGATGACCATTCAGATGATAAAGACAGGATTTTGAATGGTTTGTGTGATCTTAGTGGGGACTATGAACATCATGTTAGTTGTTTGCAATACGGTCAGCAGTGTTATGAACAGCCTGGATTACCTCTGGCACCACCCTCACTGTTTCAGGTCAAGCATTTATCAGATTCAGTTCAGCAGCCATCACAGTCGATAAAATATGGTTTTTCTCAGAGAATTTGTGGTGGTGCCTTCATCCCAAGTCCTCTGTCCTATACGATGAACCATCAGCCCTCCCTTTCGGTACCCAGTTTTGCATTTGGCTTTGAAGAAATGCCGAAGCTACACGGAACTGGAACATACTTGCCAAACGTGGTAATTGCTCATATGCTAAAATACACGAAGTACCATTTATCTAGCTGGACATTTGGCGTTAAAATGCAATTTTGGTCCCGTAACTAGGGTTTTGCAAAAAGTTGATGGCTTTGTTGAAATTTGTTTGCACAATTAGACACATGGACACTTAGTCTAAAAGCATGATAATTTTGTGAGCAAGGACTATTCAAATTGGAGACGTCAATTTTCATAAATTTTAGAAATGACAAGCGTTTTTAAGAAATAGAAATGAAAAAATAAATGTTGAATTATCAATTTTAAATGCTTTTTTCAGCACTATTTTTTTTATTAATAAAATTGTACCGTCATCTTTAATTCGCTAACTGTCTAATTTGAACAGTTACTTCACACAAAATTTTCATTTCTGATAGCTTTGGGACAAAATCATCGACATTTAGAAAGAAAAATGTCTAGACCTCAAAACTAATGGAAAAAGGACTTGTTTTTGCCAACCTCCTTCACAGTTAAGGGTCAAAAAATAAGTTTTTACCCATACTTTATGCTTAAGATTGTTTCTAACATGTATAATTATTATCCATATGTGTAGTTGCTCCAGCTCATCAATATTAGATGATATATGCTCATTATTATTATTACTATATTTGTTATTATTGTCACCACCATCATCATCATCATCTCAAAAGTTCTCTAAGTGCATTGAATTTTTCAGAATCGGCTGCCTCGTTGTTATAGACATTCAAAGGGAAGGAGTGAGGCATCATTGAGTTATACCATCAAAAATGAGAAGAAAACAACACTGGAAGAGATGCCACAATCTTATCCTGCCGTGGACCGCCGGGTCGTGTTCAACCAGTCATTTTGATCATCTCACAAGCAAAAACAGCCTCTCCCAATGTTCATAACCCGACCCACTATAAGTAAGGCATGATCGATTGATTGTGAATATCCTAGCTAGGGTGTACATCTGTATATTATGCTGTGTTGGGCACCATATACTATCGTATATTGTACTAACCTTCGCTGATTCTTTTCTAACATTAAAAAGTTGTTACCGACTGTTTATATTGTGTTATCTTGGTTTTATTTATCTTCTTACTAGGTAGTGGACTATTGGGACAATGGAATTGTGTAATAATAATAATAATAATAATGGTAATAAGAATCATATACGGAGTAATATATACTCCGTAATATACTCCGTCTAATAATAATAAAAAGATAATAGGACTACTAAATGGACTTTAAATCTGAAATATGATTGCACTTAATGAGTATGTTTAGCATATGCTCAGTTTCTAAATAGTCACACATACGATATGTATTCGTGGACACTTAAGAGTGCTTGTGATAGCAAATTATACCGTGGGATCGATCTACCATGAGTATGATGTGTCGAGAGCGCTTGTGATCGCAAATTATACCGTGGGATCGACCCACCATGAGTATGGTGTGTCGATCCCCATACGGTATCGTTTTAGAATTAAAAAAGGGAGCAAATCGTCATCGCTTATCGCTTATCTCCGTTTAACAATCTCAGCCTGGAGTGAGGCGCATAAAAAAGCGGGTGGATGAGCGAGGATCATCTGCCATGGCCTGCTGCATGAGTGAGGACTGCCTGGAGCTTCTTTTCTTGTTCGATGTATACATTAATTTCAATTTGTTGTTTAAGGAAGGCCAAAATACATTCAATCGTTATTCTTTTCAACTACAAACATAGCATTGGATTATATGTTATATATTCTACGAGTAATACATTTAAGGTTAATAATTCTAATACATATAATTAATGGAAAACTGTCAAATTGGCCTCCAACTATATCAAAAAAATCAATTAAGTCCTCTAACTAAAGAAACACTCAATTAAACCCCTCAAGTTTACAAAAACATTCAATTGTGAAGTTTAATAAGTTACCTTCCGGTTACCCGGTTATTAATCCTACGTGGATCCTTTTTATTTATTTTTCATTTTGTTTATTTTCTTTTCTATCTTGTTTTTGCTTTTTCTTTCCTTCTCTCCTTTCTTTATTCTTCCGTTCTTCCGCCAACTCTTCCAGCTGTGACCCACTCCCAGATCTTCTTCCTTTTTTCCTACTTTCTCTCCTTTCTTCTTCTTCTACCCGCCCGACATTATCCCCAGATCTTCTCCTCTTCCATGGTTCCACTCCATTCACCTCCATTGTTTTCTTTCCTTTTTCATTAAGAAATACAGCTGCTAAGGGAGTAGCAGAACCAACCGACGGGGAGGGTAACTTAGGTACACGACATTCACTTCTGCCACGGTAGCGGAAATTCCTCATCAGCGATGGCGACATAACCTCCGTGCCGGATACGGCGAAGAAAGAAATAAAAAAGCGTGGGGTGAAAGCAAAAACATGAAGAGGAAAAGACGGGTCGGAGGAGAAGTCTTGGTTCGAGGAGAAAGAAGGGGGGAGAAAGAAGAAAACTGGCTGGGTCATGGCTGTTAGAATAGAGAAGAAGTAAGAATACAGAAGGGATGGTGGCGGAAGAATAAAGAAGAGGAGGAGAAAAAAAGAAAAGGAAAATGAAAGACAATAAAAATGATACTGGTGACCGGATAACCTTAAGACAACCTATTAAATTAGATAATTGAACGTTTTTGTAAACTTGAGGGGTTTAATTGGGTGTTTCTTTAGTTAGAGGGCTTACATTTGGTTATAATATACTCTGTCTAATCTCATACCATTAATTACATTTGGTAATACACGACGTTACATTTTTTTATGAGTGATTTTACATCTTCATGTTCGTGCGTTACATCTTCTTATGAGCGAGTTACATCTTCTGATACGCGAATTACATTTGGAATTGTATCAACAAGTTACACTATGTATACACCTAAGTTACATTTACCATCAACGCGAGTTACATTCGCAATGACATGAGTTACATAAGAAAATCAACCCCTACTTTGGAAACAAAAAAATGTTTTTTAAAATCATTTTTGTATGGTTATGATATTAAAAACCAAACATATTCAAGGTTTACATAAAGTAATTGTACAATTAAACTCTCTTTTTCTTGTTCATTATTTCTTATACTATGTATATTATAAGTTACATTTCGAATGAACTGGAGTTACATTGATCAATAACGTGAGTTACATATCCTTACACGTGAATTACATCATTCATACTGCTGAGACAAAAAAACAATCACTGTACACGCGTGTACTGTTCACGTGTTACTGTTAACGTGAATTTTTTTTAGAAAAATTGTGCAAAACTACGTCGTTTTGGGTGTGGGAGCACGGTGCTCACCGTGGGGTGATACGACGGTATACGAACTGGCTTGTGATATTTATAAGTTTCCAGCTTTGGATTAATACAAAAATGAAAAACATATACATCTCTATTAGTTGTCTCGGCTATATGATTCTGTGAAAGTTATGAAAATAATTCCCAAAATTAACACAATATAAATAAGTTTAATTCCTTTTCAGTTCATTATACAACTGTTGAGGTTTATTCCTTCAACCCGTGGACCCAACACGTAAGCCCAAAGGTTTCGAGTGGAGTGAGTGTATGAATGTCTAGCCCAACAACTATTAGATGAATCAGGAGACAACAGTGATAGCAGGCAATGTAAATAGGTATTATTAACTCCGTAATAACTCCCCTAAGTACAATCTACTCGCTAAACAAGGCACGTCGGCCGTTCGTCTTACAAGGCACTTAGAAATGCTGCAAGTAAGAATGCTGAAGCTAGTATGCTAAGAATAGAAAGTTGCCAACCTTTTACAATGAAATAAATGCTTCTATTTATACCCGCCAATGGGCAGGTGGCTGTACTGACGTGGCAGCCTGTGGACCGCTGGTGTCCCAACTACCAAATCTTTAGCATTAAATGCACTTCCCGCCAGAATCTAGGTTTCCCGCCGGAATAGTGGGGACGTTCGTCCACCCGGGAAGTGAGTTGGATTCCTCCAAGTGACCCTTGAGGGATATTGGCTGTTCGTCTCCTGGCCTTGATGGATTCTCACCATGTGGGCTGGGTCTCCTCCGATGACTATGGGCTTGCTCAGGAGACGTTCGTCGTCACCCCTGATGGCCCGTGGCTCCGCTCCTTGTCCCTGCTTAGACGTTCGTCGGGATGAGCCGCTGGGCCTGAGTCCTCCAACACCAGACGTTCGTCCATGCTTAAAGTACATGGGCCTGTGGGCTGGCCTAGTTTCTAGCTGGACGGTCGTCTAGCAAAATGGGTTAGTGGGCCGGACCTCGGCTTGGGCCCTTAACCCAACACAAGTCCCCCACTTCTGATGTTCTGAGCATGCGCAGGACATAAGGAAGTATGAACCTCCCCGAAGTAGACGTCCGTATTTTGGCACTTGTGTTCATTGCATTTTGGCGGAATCGTACGCTCGTGGCCATGGTGCTTGACAGCTGTTGACGGTTCAGGAAACGAGGTGACGGCTGATGTTGCGGCGGCGCATTTTCCCGAGGAAGTGTCATCATTACGTTCCCATCCCACGCACAGCGCGTGGGCCGGAATACGCTCCTTGCCACGTGTCAGCCCCTCGTTGGCTTCTCCATCGGCGTTTCCCTTATAAATGCTGGGTTTGCCCTCTGAATTAGGGTTCCCAATTTCTGCTTTCTTGCTCTCAATTTTCCGCAGCTCTTCAAGTTTCCCGAATTCGGCCAACCATACCTTTGTAAGGTAATTTCCCCCCTCTGCTTCTTTTCTTTACCCTGATTTCTAGCCGAAATGACTTCGATGGAGATTTCCTCAAGTTCTGATTCCAGTTCGTCGGGTTCCTCCTCGGGCTCCTCTTCTGACAATGCGAATGCACGCTCCCTGGGAAAAACTAGTGTTTCCGGAACCTCGGGTTCGGCCACGACTGTGGGGACCATCCGGGCTGATGGCGAGCCGGATGACGTGCCCCAAGATAGCGGGAGCGACGCCGGGGGCGGGGGCGCTGACGGGGCAGTAGATGTTATTGACGCAGTCCCCCTGAATGAGCGTCCTGCTGATTATGATTCCGGAGAGGAAGCCGAATCTGGTTCTGATGTGGAGGTGTATGATCTGGGCATCCCCACGGATAGGGAGCGCCACATCTGCCCGATCAGGAGTGCACTTGACCATGACCAAGTCCTCTCCCGCGTGGCCCTCAATAAAATCCGTACCTTCCTTCCCCCGCCGTTCGTCTGGAGTGTGAGAGGCGCTGAGCACGTGATGAGGAGACGTCCGGGGATGATCATGCTTCACCTGGATTCCGTTGAAGCCGGGCTGCGGTTTCCACTTCATGCGTTCTATGTGGAGTTCTTCCACTGCTTCCAGGTGGCCCCGGCGCAATTCATGCCAAATTCTTACAGATTCATATCGGCCTTCCTGGTGCGCTGCAAACTTGCGGGGGTCGATACCACTCTGGAGCTCTTCCATTATTTCTACCGCGTCACTCCTCAGAACGCCGACGGGTATCTGAGCGTGGCCGCACGTCCTGGGAGGCGCCTGTTCAAGAACTACCCTTCGTCCATCCACGACTGGAAGAACCGTTTTTTCTTCCTTCGATACGACGGGCCTCCTCTCCCTCTCCGGTGGAATGGGTACCCCCCAAAGATTGAGTCACCGGAGCCGTCCGACGATCTGCTTCTGGATGCGGAGAAGGTGTTGGAGGGTGGCGTCCGTCCTATAGCCGGATTTCTGACCTTCGAGGCACTCTCTGGGGCAGGCATAGGTACCGCCCGTGTCCCTGGACTTTTTCTACCCTTCGACGCTCGTCTCGGGGCGCCGGGCGGTCCTGTCCTTCGAGGTGAGTGTCTTATTCTATTCCCCGCTCGTCTTCTAATCCTTTGTTATTTTTTGCAGGTCCTCCGCCAGACAGAGATCAAATGAATCATGCCGAGTGCCTGAAGACCAGGAAGGCCAAGGCGGCCGCTGCTAAAGCTGCGATGGAGAAGGCCAAGAATGCCCCCGCCTCGGCGTCCAACTCCTCGGCTTCTGACGCTGCCCGGCGAACTGCCGAGGGTGAGCAGCATCTGATTGCCACTGTGCTGGCCCAGGGTTCCGGGGCCCCTGCTCTCGAAGCCGCCCTTCCCCTGCCGGTCGTCCCCACGAAGACGGCTCCTCAGAAGGGGACGGAGAAAGCCCCGGAGAAGAGACAGAAGAGGGGCCGCGAAGCAGGCTCCACCGGGCCCCTGCTCGAAGACGCCGGCTCCTTGCCATTGAGCCGCCCGGCGGAAGAGCTCTGGAGGGAGATGGCCCTCAAGGCTGGTCTAGAGCTGCCCAGCCGTTCGTCCTCTGAGGCGACAAGCGCTGCCCTGGCAGCCGCTCTTCAGGTAATTCCGTGCTAGATCTGAGTATATCTCTTATTTTCCTTGACGTTCATCCTCTGATCCTTATTTTTCCTTCTGTCATCCAGTCTGGGCTTCTAGTCCTTCAGGCTGAAGCTGCCCGGGAGGCCGACCTGAAGGAGGCCAAGGCCAAAGCTGACGCGGCCATCGTTGCGGCCCGGGAGGCCGCTCGTCGAGCGGATGCGGAGGCGGCCGCCAAGGAGAAGGAGATCGCCGCCCTGCGGGCAGAATCCCGCCAGCAGCTGGCCAGCCTTGAGAAAGCTGGCTTCAAGCTTGTCCCGGTGCACCCTACTGCAAAGGATGCCAGTCCGGAGTGGCTGATCGATACCTCCGGCTATCGGAACACCGGGGAGTTTATGGACTCCGCCAAGGACTACTGCGCCGGGGTCTTCGCCGACCTGTTCGCCGCGGCTCTGGAGAAGATTCCGCCCCGCCAGCGCCTGGCTCGCGGCGTCCGGATCCTTGAGGGCTCTCCCTTGTCTCGCAAGTTCCTATACGAGGTCGGCGACAGCACCTTCGCCGCCGGCTACAATGAAGGGGTAAAGGCCACCCTACCCACATTCGCCAAGCTGCTGGGGCCCGATTTTGATTTGGCGGCCAACACGGATGACGATCTCCTAATCCAGGCGCTAGGGAAACTGAGGAGGGATCAGCGCCGGGAGGAGGCCAAGGCCAGGGGGGAGATTCCAGAGCCGCCGACCCCCGAGCCTGAGGAAGAGGAGGAGGAGCCGAACAAGGGCAGCAGCCGCCCGGGGTCCCCTTTCTTTGTATAATGTCATTTACATTTTTCCATTCCAGCTATTGTAATGTCCGGCCATTAGAGCCGAAGAATATACATCTTTTTGCCCATAATTGCTCCGTGTTCATGATTTCCACTTGTTATTTTCCTTCCTTTTGTCCTTCATTGTATGGAAACCCCTTCGGCGGCCCGATACGCCTTGTAGCAAGGTCAGAGTTCGAGAGGACGTTCGTATCTGTCCTCTACTTGCTTCCAGGCAAGTACTCAAAGTGTTCTGTCAGTGGAGCGACGCTCGTCGGCGGTTTATGGTGCATGCTCGAAGTGTAGACATAGGAACGTATTTCTCAGCACCAGCTCTTGATAACGATGTCCGCCCGTCGTCGTGTGATATGAACACTCAACCCATGCGCGGGACGTTCGTCGGTTCTGCGTGCTCATCTGGCACGGAGTGTGGAAAGGCGACGTTCATCCTCCGCCCACCACCAATGGATGTGACTTTTCCTTCGTCCCTTTTGTGTCCATTGTTCGTAGTATAAGGAATCCTTCCGGCGTCTCGACACATCTTTTTATCGCCCACGCGGTATCTTGACAGTGGGAAGATGTTCGTCGGTAGTTGCCTTGTCAGTACATGTTTCGAGTATGGACATATGGGCGTATTTCCCTGAAACAGCGCTTGGTGACGACGTTCGTCCATATTTGCGTGACATAAAAAACT